ACTGAATGATGGCTTCCTTTGAAGGAACCGAAGCGTCAGAGAGAAGCTGCTTCCACCTGCCAGGGCTGAAAGGGGACCGGGGCGCTGCAGCTGTCAGCCGCGGCAGGGAGGGTCGGGAGCGCAGGCCCGAGGGTGAGGCTACTGAGACGGAGAGAGGCCGCTGGAGAACCTTTCAAATTCCGCATAGTTCTTCAAAGTCAGCGACAAGCGAACCACCCAGGGAGGAGGGACCCCTCCGGAGAGAAGACCATGTCAGGGCAGGCTCTGCCCAGCCTCGGGGCAGCAGCCTCCTGCCCGCCTGTGCCTATGCGGGTGCTTCTCCCCAACCCTCTCCCTCCGCAGGGCAGCGGCCTCCCGCCTGCCCATGCCCTGTGCCTGCCGGGGCTTCTCCTCACTGACCGCCCCCAGCAGAGGCAGCTCCCTCAGGCCGCCCCCCTGGACCGCACAGGCCCCTCTCAGCAAACCTGTCCCTCTGGGCCGCCCTCCCGCCTGCTGGTGTCCGTGCAAGTGTCCTTTCTCGCTCTCCCTTCTACAGTAAACCCGCCCTTTGGGATACAGCCAAGGTGTCTGGTCGTGGAGAAACTCGCTGGGAACTCGCTGGTGCCGCTGAGAGGGGGGCTCTGGGGACAGGTCTCCCAGAGTGGACCCAAGGACCCCAATCTCCTGGCCCAGCCTCTCCAAAAACAAGCTCATGGTGCCGTGTACCTAAGGAGGGGTGGCCCTGAACCCCGAAGTCACGCCCATGTTGTCCACCCCCAGGTAAGCACATCAGAGGCCGAGCCGGCTCCTGCCCGGCAGTCCCCGTGCCCACCGCCCCACCTGGCGGGCACCCCCTGGCCTCGGGAATCAGCTCGCTTCAGAAAACAGCCGGAGGCGCCCATGTGCAGTGATCTGGAGCCACCGAGGCACTTTCGTTCCTCCCTCTGCCCTCCGGAGGGAAACCACCATCAGATCCTACAAGAGAGGAGGCCGCCTGCGGGCGGAGGGCTGCGGCCTGGCCCGGGCACCTGGGTCTTGCCAGGGCCACCTCTGCCACCAGGCCAGACAGTGCAGGATGCAGAATAAAAGCCAGAGGGCGGCGCTGGCCCCGGAGGACAGCCTGGTTCCTGTGGCATCGTGCAAAGGTAACGCTGGGTGAGCAGACGCCCCGTGGCCGGCCCATCAGGCACGAGGCTCTCTGTGGCCATTGGTTGGGCTGGAAGGCTCTTCGGTCACCTGGTGTCCTCGCTGTGCTGGGTCCCCAGAGTGGCCCAGTGCACAGGAGCAAACCCCAGGGTGGGCTACAGGTCCAGGGCCCAGGATGCGTTTAGGGTGCAGAGATGTGACAGCGGGGGCAGGGCCTGTGTGCCCCGGAGTGGGGACATATCTGCAGGGGTGACCTGCGCCTCCGAATCATATCAGGGTTGGGCGTCAGCATCGCCCCACATACAGAATCTGTAGAAAGCACAAGGGTGAGAACAGGGCCACTGGCTCCCCGCTGTCCCTGCAGCTGGACCCCGGCTGTGAAGTGCCCGACACCCTCCCCCGCAGCCCCCTCGCCTCCTCTGGGGGGGCGTCCCCAGTCTCAGGCTCTGGGGACCGTGGGGGCAGTGTGCCCGGGGGCTGCAGCCAGGCTTTAGGTGTGTCCACTCGCCCGGGCAGCTGCCGGCAGCAGAGTCCAGGCCCTGCTTCGACTGGAAAAAACCAGCCTCGCTCGCCTGACTGGGCTTTTGTGCGCTTGTTTGGGGAGTGAGGCCTGCACGTAAACCAACGGCCCGCGGGAAAGCCGCGCCCCCACGGGGCCTTGCCAGGCTGGAGAGAGGAGCGGCCGGAGGCGCAGGGCAGCACCGGCAGGGTGCTCAGAGCGGGCGGGAGGGCTGGGCACCCCCAGTGCCCGCTGCCCCACGGTCCCTCTTCAACGTTCTTCTACTTTTATTTACGTAATTTGTTTCGGATAATTTACTCATTTGCCTGGGCTGATTTTCTGTCTGTGCCTGTATTACGGTACGGAGGTCACGCTGCTGGACAACGCTGTGTGATTTAGGGGTCTGGGCTCACCCCTCTTCAGATGCACAGCCCAGGCCCCCCAGCACCCACACACTCCGCCACACGGGGGGCCCCACGATGCTCCCAGCCCCCTCCACCCCCAGCCTCAGGTCTGGCTCTGGTTTGCCCCCCACCAAGAGAAGCCACCCGGTGTCCATCTTGCCCCCTCTCCTCACTCAGTGCCATCCCCCGTCAGGGACCAGGACCCCTCAGTGGCTTGCAGGGGCACCCCTACCCCCCAGGCTGCAAGGCCCCTGCACGGTTTCTTGCTCTGGCCTTGGGGTGGCCCAGACAGCGACGTCTTCAGGAAAGCGAGGGTTCAGTGGTTCTGGGGTGCAGGTCCCCTGTTCCATGCATCTGTCCTGGACCCCTGGCCCTGAAATCCCTCCTCACCTATTCCTCGAGCCCCATCTTGGGTGGGGGTGGGAAGGGCGTCCAGAGGAGCCACAGCAGAGCTGAGGTGCTCCCCTTGGGGAGGCCTCCAGGCAGAGCCCTCTGCAAGCTGCACTGCGCCCCTGTGGTGTCTGCTTTTGCTCAGCCCTCGGGGTTCTCCTGGGGGCCAGGAGGGGGGCCTCCAGCAGCCTCCAGGGGCTCCAGGATCTCCCTGATGGACAGCACTTGGCAAAGGGAGTCCCCACCTGCTGCTGGAGCCCATCCTGCGGGGCCCCACTGGTGGGGCCCCGACACCCCAGGCCTGGCTTCTCCGCCCCCACCCTGTGCCCTCTCCCGCTGGGTGGGATTGCAGCACAGCCTGGCGGGGCTCCCCCTAGAACCACCGGCCTGGGGAAGCCCTGGGGCCCCCGATAGTGGTGGTGCCAGCTTGGCAGATGCTTCCCGGCTCTTGTGAACCAACTTCAGTGAGATTCAGCGAGTGGGAGGCAGCGGAGGGCAAGGGAAGAGGAAGGAAGGGGCCCCGAGGCTGCTGCGTGCCCCACCCCCACCCCACCCCACCCCCAACCCCTCCCCTGGCCTCAGAGCACGTTTCAGAAAAGGACGGAGTCCCAGCAGTCCCGGCCTGCCCTGTACCCCAGCCTGGTGCAGCACCCCTGCTCTCCCCCCTCCCTCCTTTCTGCTGCCCCCTGCTCCTCTCCACTCCCCCTGCTCCTCTCTGCTCCTCCCTGCTCCTCCCCACTCCCCGTCTTCCCTGCTCCTCCCTGCTCCCCCCTACACCCCCACCCTGGCCCACTCCCTGCCCCCCTGCTCTCTGCTCCTCCCGCCCCTCCGCCCTGCTCCCCCTGCTCCTCCCGCTCCCCGTGCCTCTCCCTGCTCCTTTGTTCCTCCCTGCTCCTCCTGTACCCCTGCTCCTCCCCGCGCCCCCCCTTGCTAGCTGCTGAGCTGATCACTTTCCTCTCTTTCACTTCCTGTCTCCCCACCCCCCTGTACCCAAGCCCCTGGTGAAAGTCCCTTTTCCAAAGCACCTCACTTGGCGGGTTTTGTTTTCCTGACTAGACCCACCTGTCGTGCACCTTGAACGCCCACAGACAAGGGCTGTTCAATGACGAGCGACCAGGCCTCTGGGCCTGCACTGCCGTCCCTGCAGAGGACGCCTCGCTGCCCAGCTCCAGCTCCGTGGCAGGCCGCGGTGGGGCGGCAGGACCCCCATGGACACCACCTGTGGGAGCGGGAGCCTCGGCATCCGTGTCGCCAGGGCGGGCACATCAGTCCACCGTCAGCGAGTCCGCCTGGAGGGGACCCCGTGGGGTGGGGTCAGGAGGGCAGGCCGCGCGCTGAGTGGACACTGTCCCCATCGCCGGAGGCCAGCTGGTGGCGCCCAATCTGCAGGTCCAGCCCCCCACCGCGATGGTGGCCACGGAGTCCAGCGCTGGGTCCCGGGCGTGGTCTGTGTGACGACGCCCTTCTCTGGCCCTCGACCGAGAGTGGCGGGCGCAGCGGCACCCCAGAACTCCCGATGCGGGGCACATTCCAGGCCCGCGCGCGGGAGGACTCCGGCCCAGAGCTTCTGCCCTTTTCCTCGGGGACGATGGCGGCTCCCCCTGGGTGAGCCAGAGGAAGAGGCCAGGGTGTCCCCCACGGGGGTGTCCGCGAGCCCCTCCGCGACCCGAGAGCTCCGAGTGCCCGGTGCAGGACGAGCGCTCACGGGCACCCCTCTGCTCCGGGGAGCCGCTGCTGAGGCGGCGCTGCTCCTCCGGGTCTGCGGGTGCGTCTGCTCCCCGCCAGCCTCGGGCCGCCCGATGGGCCGGGCTCCCCTCGCACCCGGGCCTGCCCGCTGCGGACTGGGGGGGCAGGCGACGCGGGACGCTCGTGACAGGGCCGGGGTGACGGCTCGGTGACCCTCGGTCCAGGCACAGGGAGGGACCCCGGGACAGGCAAGGTCATAAACGGGTTGTGGCGGCGCAGACTCCACAAAGGACGGAAAATTTTAGAAGGAAATGTTCTTCCTTCTCCAGTTACTTGAAGATAAACCAGGATGGCCGTCAGGGGAAAGGCTATTTTCTCACTTGGGTGGCTTTCTTGGGCCTCCGGTCAGGCTCCGGGGCCCCTGGGGCGGCAGGAAGTCTGTGGTCAGGGCCGGGGCCCCTCCAGAGCACGGCCTGGCCTCGGCCTGTTTACCCAGAGCAATGGCCGCCCCTGCAGCCGGCCTGGCCGCGCCTGCGGTGACCTGTGCGCGGAGGCAGGCCTCACCGTTCAGGAATCCCCCAGCTCCCAAAGCCCCAAGCCCCCTGGCCAAGCAGGGAACCAGGGCGGGGACCCCCAGGGCCCATTGTGGGGGGCGGCCCAGGGAGGAGGGGCAGGCTGGGCTGAGAAGCTGGGAGTCGGGGAGGGGGCTGCCTGCCTGCCGCCTGCAGTTCTGCCAGGCCAGATAACAGCAGCAAGAGGGTGGGGAGTCCTGGAAGCTGGACATCGGAACCGCCGAGCAGGGAGGAGAAACCACAGGGCTGGCAGGCGGGGCAGGCTGTGAGGAAGTTATTTAAGAGCCAACCTTCTCGCCCTCGTCCCTTTGAGGAAGTGCCCTGAGAGCCGGCTGCCAGGGTGCAGGGGAACGCCGATCGCCAGGTAAGCACCCTTGGTCCAGCGCGGGCAGCCGCAGGGACAGGCTCTCAGCCAGGCCAGCGTCGCCCTAGGGTGCTGGGGGACGGAATTGGAGGCAGCCTCGAGGGTCCAGTTCTGCACCTCTTGGGGGGGCTTCCCCAGAGACTCCCCTGAACTTCCCTGCAGGTGCAGGTGCTGTTGCGAAGGAGGCAGCGGGAGTGGGGGCCACAGGAGTGCTCCCTTCCAGGGCAGGCCTCCTCCCAGCAGGGGAGCAAGCCTCTGCAGGGGGAGCTGGGGACGGGGGTCAGGTCGAGCATCTGCTGATGGGACCCAGATCCAAGCCTTACACCTGGCCCCAGACCCCCTGCAGAGCCTGCCTGCTCTCCCTGCTCCCCCCCACCAGGGTGCTCCTGCCCCCTCCTTGCCCTGCCAGGCCTGAGGCTGCTCTTTGCCTGGCGGGTATCCGAGGCCCCCAGGCCTCTGCATTTGGGGCTCGCTCTCCTAGTGGAGCAGGGCACAGCTCTGCCCTGTCCCCCCAGACCCCTCACCCCCACCCCAAGTGCTCCCACAGTCCTCCTGGCTGGTTCCCACAAAGACCGACTTTTCCCACCTCCCCATCCAGCTTCAACCCTCTCCCCTCCTGTCCTCCTGCTCAGCTCCCCAGAGACTAACTGCGTCTGCAGACACCTGTCACCCCGGCCACGTGCATCCCCACACCACCCACTCCTTCCGAGACCCCCGGGCGGCTCCCTTGCCCTCAGCTGTTGCTTTTGCTCAGCCTGTTTCCGGAACGCTCTGGTCTCATGTCCCCATAAGAGGGGCTCCCCGTTGGTGCCTCGCATTTGAAAGCAGCCAAAAAATCACCAGCAGCCCTCCTGGGCCATGCAGGCGACCGAGGCACGTGAGAGAAGGTCTCCTCGCCCGTTGGGGGTCTGCGGTGGCCGACCGTCCAGCGTGTGGCGTCGACAGCTCTGCTGCACACGCCGGGGGCGGCGGCTGGACAGGCAGAGCCAGGGCCACCGTGCCTGTTTAGCCCACGCGGCGTGCCTGTCCCCCCACCCCCGCCCCGAACCGGCTCCGCCCGCCCTGCTGTTCCCAGAGTCCTGGCCCCAGAGCAGCCCCTTCTCCCGGCTGACTTCTCCCGGGGCCCTCGTACCCCGACCCCACCCCCCACCTGCCCCCGGCAGCTCAGTGTCTGCTGCAAAACCCGAGCAGAGATTGGGGGCTCCCTCCCCGTGGTCGTCCGAGTGAGCCGGGCGGGAGGCACGGGGGCACGGTCCCGAGCGTCCAGGAAACCCACCCACCAGTTCTTGCCACGACCCCCCGGTGGGGCGAGAGGGGCAGCCTGCTCTCCGTCTTTCACGCTCTCCCCGCGGGGGACCCACAAGCCCCAGTCCTGGGGTGCTGCTCACGGTCCAGTTTACTTGCGGCCTCGGCTGGGGCTCTGTTTATATGAACCTTGCAGCGGGTGGCCCGGTGCGGGGGCACAGGGGGGTCTAGTTTCTTGCCTGAAATTCTTGTCTCGAGGTCACAGGGTCACCTTCCTTTTCCTCAGGGAGCCTGTGAGGCAAGCATGTCGGAAAACTCGGGGACCACCTATGGAGGCAGGAGGGCCGTGCCCCCGAACACCTCCAATGCAGCAGAGGACAGTCGCCCCACGGTGGAGTTGCTGGGGCTGGCGCCCCGGGGCTTCAACCCACAAGGTACTGGGGTCCTGGGGGCTTAAGGGGGTGCTGGGCCCCAGCGTGTTTCTCCACTGAGTTCCCACAAAGGAGGCCCCTGCACGTTTCTCAGGTTTTAGATAAAAGACCCTCAGCTGCCTGAGGGGCGAAGACCCCCGGGTCTGGATCCCAGCCGGTCAGGTCCTGCCACTTGGGGCCCTGCATCTCAGGGCCCCCCACCACCTCCAGCCATGCCCTGTGGTCCCAGCCACTCCGGGGGAGTCTCTCCCCACCGGCTCCTCGCCTTGGAAGGACGTTCTCGGCTGGAAGTTTCCACTTCCCAAATACTGTGGCTGCCTGGGTGGCTGGCTGGCACCTCCGTCCCTGCTCCCCGCCCTCCTCCCGCACGGCTGTGAGTTCCGAGCCGGGGAGGGTGCCAGGCCAAAGGGGCCAGGCCAACGGTAATGGAGATGGAAGCCGCGTCTGGAGTCACAGGGGCCGGTGGCTGCATCCCTGCTCCCCGGGGACCCCGAGCGGCGGTCAGCGCTGACTCCTCAGCCCCGTCAGCCGGCCAGGCCCGGGTGCTGGGGGCTGGTGACTCGGACGCGGCCCCTTGGGGACCCGCAGGGACGCCCAAGTCCCATCCCGGGTGGCAAGAGCCGCTTCCCTGGAGCACACAGGCGGGAGGCCCACTGGCAGCTGAGCTCGCTCTGGGGCTGTCCCCGGCTCTGGCACCCACTCGTAGGGTCTTGGCCCCCCGCCCCCACGCGGTCAATCCGCCTGTGGGGAGTAAGCGCCGGGCAGTGCGATCGGGCAATCCCAGCACTGCCAGGCCGGGACAGGCTGGCGTTAGCTGTAGGCCGGCGCGTCTGCCCCTCCTGAGGCCAGACCACCACCGTGGGGCTGGCTGGCGGCAGGGCCGGCGGCTCACCTTCAGCCCAGGACAGGAGCCTCGGCAAACTGGCCAGCAACTCCCAGACTGCCCAGCGCTCTCGAGCCCTCACCACTCGTGACAAAGACGTGCAGAGAAGAGGGTCCCTCGGACAGACGGGGCTGGGAAACTGGGCCACGCATGGAGGAAGGACGTGGGGCCCTCTCTCCACGCACCCCAACTCAGACGGATGTAAGACACAGTTATGAGACGTGATCGTGAAGCAGAGGACACTGGCCACACGCTGGGGGCGGCAGGTGGACAGACTCTGGGGCTCGACCCGCGGCAAGGGGATAAGAGCAAAGCACACATTTGGGGTGACCGGGAATCAGGGACACAGCTGAGCGCAGAGGACACGTAATCCATACTCTGAAATGCCCATGTTTGGGGCGAGGAAACAGGCCAGGGCAGGCAGGGACACCCACAGCTGCGAGGGGCCTTTCTGTTTGTTTTAAGAATCAAAAATAACCACCTGGCAGGAGCCAGGCCCTCAAGCAGGTGTCCCCGGCCGGTGTGCTGACCTCCCCACGGCCAAGAAGACACTGAGCTGGGGCCGGGGCTGGAAGCAGCGGGCAGGGGGAGCAGAGAGGGGACACAAGTGAGCCCCACAAAGGCAGCGGGGCGTACGCCAGCCCTCACCCCGGGGTCAGAGGGCCTGACTCCCCAGGCCAAGCCGTGTATGTGCCCTGAGCCTCAGTTTTCCCTCCAGCAGCTTGGAAGCAGTAGCACAGCTGCCCTGAGAAGCAGGGGTGCAGTGCCTGCGAGGTCCCCGTGCCTGGGACATCTCCCACAAATGCTCATTGACCTGGGACCTGCAACTGAGCTCCCGAGGCCGGGGCACCCCGAGCATCTGAGGTCTGAGTGCGGCGCCGCCAGCTTGGTATCCAGGAGCGTCGTTTATAAAAACCCGGCGTTGCTGTTTTCAGTTTTGGAGGCCGAGACAGGGAGCAGTTTGCAGCGAGTTTTTAAATCATTCACGGCTTGTTGGCAGCGGCGGGTCCACCCCCCGGGGACGCTCTGGGGACACGCATCACCGGCTGGCCGCGGGCACCGGTGGCTGACCGCAGCCGTGAGTAAGTGGCCGGGCAGTCAGTCACTCGAAGGCAGAGTGACTCATCACCCGAGTCATCCCGCGCTTGCCCAGATTTGTAAACAGGCGCCTCCGGCCTCACTGGGAGCGGAGGCGGAGGCCAGAGGCTCAGTGCAGGGCGGAAAGAAGGGAGCCGGCCCGCACGCCCCCTGAGCCAGGGCGACTGGCTCCTGGCCGTGCTCCATGTTTCAGATTTCCGCTTCATGGCACCGAAAGCAGCTCTTGGTGCTAAGCGTACCTACGTCACCCCCGAAGGCACCCCCAGCCCCAGCCCTGAGGAAAGAGGCTCCCTAGCGCCCTCTTCCTGCAGTCCACGCCGCAGCCACTAGGGGCCCCTAGAGACCCCGCACCCCATCTGGGCCAGCTCAGTGGCCGTCCTCACCGGGGTGTCCCTCAGCCGGCGCCCTTGCTCAGCCGGGAGGGCAGAGCAGCAGGGAGAGGAAGGGAGGGCAAAGCCAGCCTCTCCCTTTGGGGCAGCACCGCGGGGTCCGTGTATTAAGCGCCCGAGTCTGGGCAGGTGTTAGGCTGGTCATTCTCTCAGCCCGCGCCTGCTGCGGTATAGCCACACTGTGCGCCGTCGCCTTTCTGCCCCGGGTGGAGCGGGGCCGGTCGCCAGCTGCCCCGCGTGGCGCTGTGAGGATGCCGTGCGGCACATGCGTGGGTCCCCCCGTGCCAGGCACCGCCCCTCGGGTCAACCGCGGGTGGCTGGGGTTTCCCGAGGGGTGGGCTCGCACGCGTCCCCCCCACCAGCAGGACAGTGAGGAATGGAAACGTTTGTGGGAACAGGGGACACAGGCCTGGGATGGGGCCAGCCGGTCAGGGTGAGCTCGGAACGTCCTTGCGTGTTTTTAGGGATCCTGACTGTGCTCCCCTCCCAACTTTGAATTCAACTGTAACCCCCCAAAAAGTATGTGAAAATCGTCCCCGACTGTTTAGATTTGACCCTAACACTACGCTGCGCACCCAGGGGTGTCTCTGCGCATCCCGGCCTCCTGGCCGCGGGGTGATGTTCCGGGGGCCGCGTGGTCTCCTGGCTCCTCCGAGTTACTCGCAGCTGCTGATCGTTTGCGGGGTAATTAGAATCCCGAGCTGGCGGGTCGAAGGCCGTGAATGCAAATGGCGGGCGCAGTTAGTCTGCGTCTGTTAAAACCCCATGGAGGCGGAATCCAGTGTTTTTCAGACAGAGGAGGTGAGTGAAGGGGGAGGGTCTCGCCTGAAAGGCCTTGGAGACGTTGCCTCGCCTGCTGCGGAGAGGAGGGACTGGCAAGGGCTCCGGGGAGCACAGGACACGGCAGGAACCACGTTTCCTCCAAGCCGCTCTAATAGGGGAGGGGCGGGAGGCCTGGCTGAGCTTGGACCCCGAGGAGGAGCAGGCGGGAGGCGTTTCTGTCCCGGGGGAGGGCTGGTCCCAGCTCTGTCTCCCTAGCCCGCTCCGAGCAGCCCCTTCGCTGACAGGTCAGGACGCAGGACCCGGGGACAGCGACAGCGACAGGGCACGGGCGGTGAGGAAGTGCCCCCCTTGCTAATGGACACTTAAGATTGGGGGAATCCGAAAAAAAATAGGGCCGGCCCTTTCCCTGCTGTTGGACTGTCTCCGCAGTAAGCACCCCACTGCACCCCACTTCCGCCTGGACGGGCTTGAGGCCGGGCCTCTGGCAACAGCATTACCCAGACTGCCCAGAGACCGCGGCTCGCGGGGGAATTCCCGGGCGACGAACCTGCGCCTTTAACTGGCTTCCAGGCTCCCTCCCGACAGGTGTGCTCGTTCTCTGGAGACTATTTTTACAACTGAAGGAGAAAACAACCCACTTTCCCTGCTATTAGGGGAGGGCAGGAGGACACGGAGGCTGCTGCTGAGGGGGAGAAGACGCCTGAAGTGGTTTCTGATGTGTTTGGGGTCAGGCGGACTCCTGTTGGGAGACTGGGAGGTGCCCCCGGGCACAGCCAGGTTTCGGCTCTTTCTCAAACAACAAGCAAAGACAGGTGCTGAGCCCTGAGGGGTCCGTTTCGCCAGCACCTGGGCCTGGACGCAGAGCGGCCAACGCGTCTCCTGCTGCTGGCAAAGGGCCCTGGGCGGTGGGAGGCTTTTCTGCCTAAGCCCCGCCCTGCCCAGTGCATGGAGGAGGCAGCGGCCAGTGCTGCCCAGAGGGGCCTTCGCGACTCATGTGGGGGGATCTCATGAGATGAGCTGTCCCCCACCAACCCCGCAACAACGCCGATTTCCTGCGTTTTTCTTTCTTCCTGACGCTGTTCGCTTGTCGGGAAGACACCGTCGTGGAGAACGGACAGGTAACGGGGAAGGAACCTAAACCCACTGTGAGCCACGCGTGCTCCAGAGCCGAACGCTCACAGCCCAGTTTATCCGAAAGCCAGCTCCTCCGCGTGCTGCGCCAGCACAGCTTGTGAGCCGGCCCCTCGGGGTGTTCTCCTCGGGCCTAGCTTCCTGGGCTCCCTGGAAGCCCCGCTCCGGCTTGCCGGCCGCAGGCAGCGTAGACGACCACACAGACGTGGCGGTTTGTTCCCAGAGGAGGGAGCTCGTGTGGTCAAGTCGCCTTCCCGTCCCCACAGCACACCCAGCCCGAAACAACCGCTTTCAGAAGGGGCCTGTCTGCCGAGGGGCGCTCACGAGCCCCCGTGGCTGCTCTGTGGTGATGGGCCCTCCGCTGCAAGGCCATGAACCCGGCTCTCGGCCCCCCGGGTCACTCCCCGCCTGCGGGCCCAGACCAGGTTTTCATTTGAAGTGAGACTCGGGACAGTGAGATCCAGACACCAAAGAAGGGCGGAGACTCCCCGGCGTCACTGGATCCTCCTTCCCCTGCGTTAGGGGCTCCCTGGACCCCCCCCCCCCGGTGCCCGCCCCGCCAGCACCCTGAGCCCTCTTTGTCAGAGTGTTGAGTTCGCCGTCGCCATCCTCGGCTCACTCTCCGGCACCTCCCGCCGCGCCTCCCCCGCCGATGGGCCAGGCGGTGGCCCAGCCGCCATCTGTATTCGCGGCCTGCGGGCAGCGTCAGCTGCCGCGCGCACAGAATTCCTGGAGGTGGGAGCTGGGGGATAGTAGGGACATTGAGTAGGCGCGAAGGGGCTGAAGTTATCATAAGGCTTGGAACAATGACGGAACCCAGTAAGATGACCTGTCGTTGGAGTACATGTAAAGCCTGAAAGTGGAACTAGAGAGGAAAACCGCCACGGACGCAGGCGGGAGGGCACACGAGGGCGTGGCCGGCAGGGTTTGAATTGAGTTTTCTTCCGCTCTTGATAGAAACGGCATCTGAATGTATTTTTTAGGGTTTTTGCTTCACCAGTTGCTTAACGTACATCATCAGTAAGATGTGACATTCAAAACGCGAGCGGTATCTTAGTCTGCAATGATCAAAATGTGCCGCTTGTTGTGAAAGATCTAGTGGACCGAGCGTTTCTCGCTGGAAAGCCGCAGCCAGCGTAATGTGCTTGGTTCTAGAGCAAACACTGTGGGAGAGAAATGCGTGGAAGGGAAGTTCTGGACGCGATCTCTCAAAGAGGCAGTCGAAGAAGTGGAGACTGTCTTGCTCAGAGGAACCCTCAGAGCCGTTCCCTTTGCCCTAGAAAGTGCCAGATGCTGAGAACGGAGAGTCGCCTCTGTGTCCACAAGCCAGGATTGGGCGGCGAGGTTAGGAAAATGACAGGGAAGCAGATGTCAGCTCCTCTTCAGCGGAGTTTTTCCAATAATCAGAGTTGCTTAAAATGGACTGTTTGGGCCTCCCCAGTGGCGCAGCAGTTAAGCGCTGGGTTGCGAAGCTGCCCGCAGCCTCTGCAGCGCCGGTTCGATCCCCGGCTGCTCCCCGGCCACCAGAGGAGGGTCCCACATGGCGCGCAGACCTCTCCTGCCGCCCGCTGCTCCCCTCAGCAGTGTCCTTCGGTCCTTCTGCCTGCTCTGCTCCCCGCTCTGGCTCTGGTGAATCCTCTCACCCTCCCGCTTCTGACTGTACCTGGTGCTTGTGTAAATAAATAAATAAATCTTAAAAAAAAATAAAACTAAATGGACTGTTTGCCTTGGCGGGGGGGGCTCCCCGCTCAGCTGGCGGCCAGAAGCCCCTGGCCTTTCACGGGGAGACCCTCTGGGGGATGCCACCGGCGTCCACTACAGAGCTGATTGGGTCCGTGTCCACCCTTGAGGTGACTGACGTCATGCAAAATGACTCTGGGGCCTGAGACAGAGGCCCCAGAGCTGGTGACCGAGGTCCTACCAAAGGGACACTTTGGTTTCTTGGTTCTTTCTTAACTCCGGGACGACCCTAATGAGGCCGGAGAGCTTGGGAGACGGCAGGGCCTTAGTCTGACAGGTCTCTAGGGCTTGGCTGGTTTGGTTTTGTTGCTAAAGACTTGGCAGGCCCTGGTGACCCCAGAGGTGCTCCACAGTCAGGCGCAGGGACCCCAGCTCCATCACCCCATGAGACTCGGTGGCCTGAAACGGGACCCTGGGCGGGAAAAGCTTTTTCAAAAATCCCTGTGAAAAGCCGGCCTGGCCCTCGGCTGCGGGGTGGGGCCTCACGCCACCTCTCTTGCAGACTACCTCCACGTCACGGCCGTGCACCTGTTCAAGGAGAGCTGGGACAGCAACAAAATGGATCACCACACGGACAGGTACGACAGCGACAAGCTGATTGTCCGGCGGGGGCAGCCCTTCCACATCCAGATCGACTTCAACCGCCCGTATGAGCCCTCGAGGGACTTCTTCCGGGTGGAGTATGTCATCGGTGAGTGACAGCGCGGCGTGTCCAGGCCCCAGCTGGCATCCTGGGTGGTGGGGCCAGGGCAGGGGCCCAGGGGCGCTGCGTTCTGCCCTGGCCGTCCAGGGGTCGCTGGCCAGGCCTGGGGTGGCCTCTGTTCCAAACTGGTCTGCGTCATGCCAAGGTGATAACGTGCGCCCACCCCCGTGTGGAAGGGGAAGTGAGAACTGTTGATGGAAAACGCTGGGGTGGGTCGGGCATCCTGTGGCTGTGGTGTCAGCTCATATCTCTGCCCTTGTGGCCACTTGGGTCTCCCGTGCTGAGAGTATTTGCAAAGCATACAAGGGTTTTCAGAGTTTGGTCTGCTCCCATCCAGCCCACGGGTGGGCCATGAGAAAGGGGAGGTGGAGCAACGCAGGGCTTCCCTGGAGGCGCAGGGGTTAAGTGTCAGCACTGTCGAGCTATTGTCAGCCACTGCGGCCTGAGTCCCATCCCCGGCCAGGGAGCTACCCACAGGGCACAGCAGACCTCGTCTGTCTCCCCGCTGCTCCCCTCAGCCGTGGATTTCAGTGGATCCGCCTGTTCTGCTCCCCACTCTGTCTCTGGGGAGTCCTCTCACCCCCCCCCCACACACACCTCTAGCCTGAACCCCAGCTCTTGCATGCATAAATAATATAAATCTTTAAAAAAAAAAAAAAAAAAAAGAATGGCAATGCACATCAGCTTGGAAAGTTCTGGAAAGTCACACTGGATTTTGTTTGGTCCCATGTTTCGCATATTCATTCGATCATGGAGGACTTCTGGTAAATATGTCCCCAGGATTTAGAAGGATAGTACAAAAAAGCAACAATGGCTGACGCTCAGAGCCACCGTGTGGCCTACATATAAAAATTAAGGGGAAAAATCAGGCAGCCGGACCCAGATTCACGAAAATGTATATGATTGAAGTCAGCAGTTGTCTTAAGAAAAAGACTTTACACAAAAGTAGAAGAAATCGCAACGCTGCTGAAGGTTATCTGTCCAAAGCCAACAGCCAATCTGTCCAAAGAATCCTACGTGACGAAAAGTCCATTTTCATTCCAGCAGGAAACTACATAGAGCGCTGCCATCCCCGCCAAGAGCTCTGCGCTAGCAGCTTAGCAAATGCACAGTGTAGGAGAAATATTTACTGGAAACTCTGGAAAATAAGAAATGCGAGGACATGTTTGGCTAGTGCTCTGGTTGTAAGTATAGACGACCCAGCAGATCGCGGGAGCAGCAGAGTCCACTGAACTGTGTTGCCTGGACGGAAGGGACACACGGGCGAGCCCACAGTCTGCCTCTCCCCCGGCATTCAGGACCGGAACGCAGAAACAAGGAAGATAAACTCCCCATGTAAACGTGACGACAGCCAACATCATGATTGTTTTTAAGGCAGCCCTAGCACCGCGCACGTGCGTGCAGAGCGGGGAGAGCGGCTGCGACTCTTCCTCAGGCAAGCAAATGAAAGGCAAGCGCGTCCTTGGCTGTGTTTGTAAAAAGTCTTCCAAAATTAATATGTAAATTTCACGCATCCCCGTGAGAACCCACTGAGCGAAGATCTTCTTGTTTGACTTGCGGGAAGACACACGAAGGTTCATCTGAAAGAATCACTACCTGACAAGAAGCAGACACTGGAGCCAGGCCTCTGCAGGGAGGAAGAGGATCCCCTGTCGGAAGCCGCCGCTAGAACATCCTGGGAGGGCCCGGGGAGGCAGAGACCAGAGAACTTGGTCACCGATCCCATTCTAATCGGTGACATGAGATGACGTCAGCTAGTTTGGGGTGAGAAAATGGAGCAAGAAAAAATCGGCATTTTTGTTTATTGTTTCATCACCTCAGTGACACTGACACAACCAGTTTTCTTCCTTTTGGAATGTCAGCATCTGCCTGTGCACATTTGGCGTCCGTGACATATCCGTGGCGTCTCCCACAGATGCACAGACCTCTGGTCCGCACACCCAGACCCCACAGATGGCCGTACAGATGACCAAGATGTAGCTCCAGGACCCAGATGCCACTGAGAACCAAGGATGGTTCTGGAAAAACGTGCAAACATGCCTCAGAGAGGAAGGTTTCACCCAGAAACGCCAGGAATGTGTAAAACACGAACACCTGCTGCTGGCCGGGTGTGGACAGAAGCGCACATGGCTGGTGCGAGTGTCCGCTCTGTGGCCTTCCTGGCATGGCTTTGGCAGGAAGCCTCTCCTGGGTGTCTACACCCAAGATGCCCAGAATCCCCTTATAAAGACCAGCGTTATTTACCGCAGCGTTGTTTACACTGACAAAGAGACTGGAAGTAAGCATTTCTCAGCGTGACGGTAGAGTCGGCTCTTTTAGATTCACCGCGGATTCTGGTTTTTGTGAAATGAATTAGAAGTCAGCACTTGCAGCTCCTCCCATGTCCACCCGGGCGGGCAGACCGAGGCACAGCAGTCCGGGCGGGGCCCTTTGGCGGGGGCGGGGGGTGTCGCCCAAATAGCAGATGAGAGGAGCAGCCAGGGGGAATTTAGTGGCGGGGGGCGCGGTGCGAGCAGGGTGTGGGTGCACGTGGCGGGATGGGGAGCTACGGATGCAGGAGGGAGTCTGTTATGAATTAAAAATGATCAAATTAAGACAAAAAATAGACACTTCCTTAGGGGGAAAAAATGGCTCGGAAGGACCCGGGAGCGTGGCTTCCTGGCATTCACCGTGAAATCCGTGCCTGTGGGTGGGGGAGCTGGAGAGGGCAGAGGTGAAGGGGGGGAGGAAGGAGCCCCCCGGAGACGGGGGTCGGGGCCGAGCCCGGGGGCCCGCGGGCTGGTTACCCGCTGCAGGGCGGCAGGAGGAGGCTAAGTTACGGCCCCTGCGTGCTAGGCCCGAAATCACCAGGATTTAATTACATTTCGGGAGCTGACGACTGTTGTTAATATTTTTTAATAATGGGTACTTTGGTGAGAACGGAGTCCACAGACAATATTTTAACAGTATTTGAAGATCTGATGAGCGTTTATGTTAATCCTTCCCCCGAGTGCATCCATCTCTCCACAGCATGTTGCTCCCACACGCTTGTCCCTCATCGCCACGGGCGCTGGCCCTGGACACTCGTCCTGACGCTCTGCCCATGGACGCTGCCCGGGGCTCCCCCCACCGCCCCAGGCACGCGGGGACAGAGAGGGACGCCCCTGAGGGGCCTGACCGGGACCTGGGAAACACCAGGCTCGCGTGGGAAAGACTCCGAGCAGGCTGTCGGGGGAAGGACTCGGCATTGGGGAGCGGATGAACCGCCCTCAGCAAAGGTGGGGGGCTCGTGGGGGCCCGGGGGCCGTGCAGTTGCCCAGTCAGAGCCAGGTGTGGACTGTCCTTGGCTCCAGGGCGCCCCCAGGGAGGGGCCCTCTGGCAGCATTTAAAGGCCCCTCTTCACGAGAGACGGAGGCTAGTGTGGTGGCGAACGTGGGCGGGAGAAGCCTGGCAAAGCTGACTTTGAGATCAACCTGCAGAGCGGAGGTGGCCCCTCTGGCCGGGCCTTCCCGAGGGGCTGATGCGGGCCGGGCCTGCTCCCAGCCCCGGCCCCGGCCCCGCCGCCCACAGCTCCCTCTGGAGTGAGGGTGTGAATGAATTTGGGGGGGTGGGTGTGGATGCGGAAGGTGTCTAGGGTGCCACGGCCTTTTCTCTCCCCTCCCTGAGCCTGAGAAGCAGGCAGCAGAGCCGCGTTAATTATCGGCTTTGCTAACCTGAGCTGAGCTGTGCAGACCCGAGAACAGCTCGTGGTGTTAATTTGCTGTTGCTTTGACACGACCCGGGTTCTCTGAGTCTCCGTGGAGGGAGGGTCTCTGCACAGAAGACTCAGCTGGTCTCCTTACAGCCCCCCTTCAAGGCAGGGCCGTCCCCACCTCTGCGCCTTTCCTGGCATCTGCAGCCCCAGGAGCCGGGGCCTCCACACTCCTCTGGGCCTTCTGCTCCCAGGCTCCTGCCACCCAGGCTCCCTGCGTGGCCCCAGCAGGGGGCTGAGGGGGGTGCCAGGGTGGCCGCGACTCTCCTGTCCAGTGTGAGCTCCTGAGCAGCCTGGCCTGGGCACCGGCCCCGACATGAGCTCTGGAGGCCCCGGGCATTGAGGGCCAGGCCAGCCTGTGACGTGGCCTGCGGGAGGCCCCCAGAGCCAGCCGAGCTCCCGACCCCATGAGGGGCCTCCCACCTGCTGTCTGAGGGCCTTGGAGCCGCAGGAGCTGGCGTGGGGCGGGAAGCAGCACGTCCTCAGCACCAGCGGGGAGTTTGGGGCAGGAAGGAAATCTGAGACTTGCCAAGGCCTGGGTTCTAAGTCAGGTGCTGCTCCAGGCTCTGGACCCCTTGGCGGTCTGGGAGGGGCAGCTCCGCAGGTCCCTCGGCAGGCACAGAGGGTGGGGCTGTGAGGCCGGGAGTGCAGCAGGCGCTGGGGAGCATCTGGGTTGGGGCGCCAAGCAGCGTGGGGGGCCCCATCCCCAGGGGCTTTCCCTCTAGTTAAGATTCACGTTGAAACAAGCAGCAGCGAAGCCGGCTCTTCCCTCTGCAGTCAGAGGAGACCCTGCGGGCAGGACTGGGGTGCGGTCAGTGGGGCCCCTGCGCGTCCTCAGCAGGTGAACCGGCAGGGCTGGGGCAGGGCTTGGGGTCAGGCGGCCCCACTCGCTCACCACCAGCACGGAGGGGCCCGCTAACAGCCCCCTCCTCGCCCCAAAATAAGATGCCGATGCTTCTGCGCAGGCGGTCTGTGTGCTCAGCAGAGGGGACGGGCGCCTTCTATCCTCACAACAAACCTGGGAGCAGGAGGGAGGGCTGGGCCTCACCAACAGCATGGAGGCCCCGGGCACAGAGGTAGGGGCCGGGGTGCCCCATTCTCCTCAGCTAATCAGCACCTGCCTAACAGAAACTGGTGTCCCCAGAGGCCCCGCGAGGCCCCCACACCCTCAGACGCTGGCGTCGGGCGGCGCAGGGCTCACGGCGCGGGGAGGCACCGGGATGAAGGGACAAGTGGGCTCGTCACTCGTGGCTGCTGC